GGGAGAGGTACCCAGCGGGGTAGATGGACTTTTGAAAATCAAAATATTCGGGGTAACGACAATAAAGCTCTTTTGCTTTTTTATGTTCTTATACTCTTTTTCTTTCTTATTTTCTTTTTATTATTATACTTATTATCTTATGTGTTAATGCTCTCTCTCTCTCTCTTTTATTTGCTTTTGCGCTTATGCGCTCTCTCTTTCTTTTATTATACTTATTAAAACATGTCGACTCTTCCAACGAAAACTATAGTAACTTAAAAATTACAGTTTTGAGAAAAATTGCATTGAATCTTTGATTGTTAATAAYAAAATTAAGGAACTGTTTACTATTATTGAAAATAATGGTTTATTAAAAAAAAAATCTCATTGTTTTTGTATTTTGGGTCCTACATAAGCCATCGTAACTCAAAAACCAATTTCGTTCATAATTTGAATTAGGGAAAAATTGAGGACCGCTACACTACCACACCGCTGACAGTTTCTCTGTTCTAATCTAATACAGGGTGCGCCAGAACTTGCGCCCCAGAGAAAAATGCCATGTAAGGTAAGGTACCAGGAACATGGAAAAATTTTTTTAAAAATTTTATTTATAGAAATAGAATTTATAAATTTTGCACTTTGACTATTTATTTCTGTTGGAAAAATACTTTTCTAAGTTTTTTGCTACAAGCTGTTAGAAGAGAAAACAAGGAAGCTGTAGCCTAAATTGTATCTCTGTCTAATGTTATTTATGGCTTTTATTGGCAAAATTTTTGTACTTTTACTAAATAATTATAAAAAAAACATATACTTACAAGATCATCAGTATCATTAAATAGACATAAAAAATGTCAAATGTTAAAAAATAAATGTCAAAATTTTTGACAGATAGAATTTTTTAAACATTTTTTCCAATAATTTATTTCTCGCGTATCTATAACGTTTTAACACTTTTCTGGGTCTTTTGTACTCTAATGAGTGCATTTGGAGCAATTTTTTAGTTTTTTTGACTTTTGTCAAAATTTTAGTCGATCGTCGGCACCTTAAATTTTCTTTCTTAAAAAAATGTTGTCCTGGGCACTGAACAACAAATGACCAATTTCGTGAATTAATTTCAATGTGAAAAGTTCAACTTTTGATTGTAGAAAAATGTGATTTTTGAAAGTCGACTCATGAATGCACAAATTAGCAAGAACGCGTTCTACAAGTGATCGCGTGTGGGTTTTTAATTTACGACATGTGTATTTGTAAAACAGAAAGTTCAAATGAACATTATTTGTAAATATTTGCAATGAGTTGTTTGCATTGGCATTATTGTAAAACATTATTTTAATGGTGTATCATTTTATCAAACATTCGAGAAACTGTGTCGTTTTTAACATATTAACAACATTGGTATGCGTTTTCAAGAATTTTTTCTTTTATAGTTGTGTAGTTTTTATTAATGGTGGAGGTCATAGTTCAGTGGACAGATTCTTTTGTTTCATATATCCACTAGCCTACTTATTCAAATTACAATAATTTTCAGTTTTGTTGAAATTTACAACTCGTGTCGCACTTTTTGACCCATTTCTTGGCTACTTTCTTTTAGCAGACGTTTTTAATTTTTTTTATCATAAAATGAGTTTATTTTCTTTGAAATGGCGTGTGTATTGTTTGTATTGTTTGAATTCCGAGGTAGTGTGGTATAATTTTCTTTGCTAGCATGAGGAATGAAGTTTGTTGGTCTCCTGACCTGTGTAGTCGTGTCATAAAAATTGAACAAGACTTCCTAGTACAACCTGCACGTGCTTCATCATACCTACTTCAATACACGAATCAATCATTTATAACGTAATAAACATTGTAGGTACATACTTTCAGTTCGATTAAAGCCTATGGCTAGATCCGGAATCCGGATGGAATGAGAAAATGGATTTTTGTTCGAGTGTGTTGTTTAATAATAGCAAGTTTAGCATATCAGCATTTGAAAGCGTCGTGAGCTTAGCTGAAACAATGACATTGGCTTGGACTGCATGCATTGTATTTATCGGCTCATTTGACCTGTCACCTTTTGACACGTGCCTTGTGGCGTCAGTTTGATTTGCATACAGCCTTAAGTGTATCATCAGGCATTTTCCGCTGAAATTTCAATTGACCTTAACGAACAAAGCAATGAGGGTGTGTGTATTGAATCTTTTCAGAGATGACACATTTGTGGGATGATTATTGATTTTTCAACTTCTTCACGGGCAGATAAAGTAGGGCTGTGTGGCGTATGAATGGGGGTGGGGTGTGTGGTAGTTTTGTTATAACAGCATAGTGCAAATCTGTGGCTTTTAATTTTTAGGGATGTCGCCCCAAGCAAGTGCGTTTTAGAAGGGTGAATAATCTGTTGTTGCGCGGCCGCTGTCGCCTTATTCCCTCAAGCCGACTTTTACATTTAGGTAAAATAGTGAGCCTTCAGCAAGAACTAGCGACTGACATCGCGAGATGCAGATGGTCGAGCAGAGGTTGTGGCTTGGAATGACACTGACCTCTCTTTGACCTCACTCCTATATCTTCCGCAGGTCTCCATCTAAAGTAATGGTTGATTGATTCAGATTCGTTTTTTCGATTCTTTTACCGAAGTGCAAATAAATCACAATGAAATAGTGGCGTGCTTAGCTTAGGGTGCATAACAAAGCAGCTCGTGGTTTTTGTGAT